CAAATCAGGGTGGCAGGCCCCCCGTACCCTGACTGGTAGGGTAATTTTTCTCGTACACTGATTGTAGCAGCCTAAAAATTCTGGTACACTGATGACAGCAGGGTAATATATCCCATACACTTTTCCTACGCACAAATATTTACTACACCAACAGTTACTACTCACTAGAATGTCCTGCACACAAACGAGAGAAAAGTGAGAGAATGGCGAGAGTCTGAGAGACCCCTTGGGAATCACAAAGCCCAAGGGGCCTCAGGCAGCACGGTTTCCGCGCACCGCGGGAACTGCATGGCAGAGGCTGCAAGACCACAATGACTGCCAGGTGGTGCAAACGACAGCACGAAACCCACCTGGCGCGCAATTTGGCACCGTTGGCAGTCAGCGATGCCATAAATCGGACCAATCGTAGGCGTGCGCGTGCATCCGCACTGCTTCTACGTTGGCGCGCCAGTGGGTGTACGAATACATGGTCCAGTGGGACCGTGGTGCATTTTGTCTTGGCGCGTACTGTGGCGGAATCCTCGGTAAAACAGAGATTCGGTAAAAGGGTAGTTGAGCCCCTACCCTGATACAGTCAGTGTAACAAAAAATCCTACAAGAGTACTTTAGATCGTATCCTGATTTCACTAGGGTAAAAATCTCCATACCCTGATTTCAAAAGGGTAACTGCCAAAAAGTGGCCTACCATCAGGGCAAAAAGGGTAAAATACCCTTGAAATTTGGGGCCTGCATACCGTATCTCACATAGGCGCACACGCGCACGTACATACGCACATGTACAACACACACTAACACACACGCAAACAAGCACAGATAGATACAGAGACCGTAATAAAGACACAACCGTCATGAATAAAATTCAGAAATGCAGAAATGATTGCTGGCCTATCCCACCTTCCCCTCCCTACAACCCTCCCTCCCTCCTTCCCTCATCTCCATCCCACTCCCTCCCTCATCTCCCTTCGCAGCTCATGCGCCCTGCACAAAGCAAAATCAGGGAAGTCAACACACACACGCCCTGCACAAAGCAAAATCAGGGAAGTCAACACACACGTGCCCTGCACAAAGCAAAATCAGAGAAGTTGGCACACACGCGCCCTGCACAAAGCAAAATCAGAGAAGTTAGCACACACGCGCCCTGCACAAAGCAAAAACAGAGACGTCAACACGCGCCCTGCACAAGCAAAAACAGAGAAGTCAACTCTCACACGCGCCCTCTCACGCTCGCCCACACGCTCTCTCACACGGACTCTCACGCGCTCTCTCACACGAACTCTCACGCGCTCTCTGACACTCTCTGACGTGCTCTCTCATGCGCACACTCAAGCGCTCTCACTCGCTCACTCACGCGCTCTCTCACGCGCTCTCTCACGCGCTCTCTCACGCGCTCTCTCATGCGCTCTCTCACGCGCGCTTTTACTCGCACTCTCACGCGCTCTCTCACGCGCGTTCTCACGCGCTCTCTCCTGCGCTCTCTGACGCACTCTCGCACACGCTCTCTCACGCTCTCTCACGCACTCTTTCACGCACTCCCTCACGCGCTCCCTCACGCGCACTCTCTCGCACATTCTCTCTCTCTCACGCGCTCTCTCGCGCGCTCTCTTGCGCGCTCTCTCACGCGCTCTCTCGCTCGCACTCTCACTCGCCCTCTCACGCGCTCTCTCACGCGCACTCTCACGCGCTCTCTCACATGCTCTCTCACGCAATCTCTCACGGGCTCTCACACATTCCGTCGCACTCCCTCTCGCGCACTCTCTTGCACATTCTCTCTCTCACGCGCTCTTTGATGCAATCTCTTACGCGGTCCTTCACTCGCTCTCTCACACGCTCTCTCACGCACTCTCTCACGCACTCTCTCACGCGCTCTCTGACACGCGCTCTCTCACGTGCTCTCTCACGTAATCTCTCACGCACTCTCTCACGCGCTCTCTCACGCGCTCTCTCACGGGCTCTCACGCGCTCCCTCACGTGCTCTCTCTCGCGCACTCTCTTGCGCATTCCCTCTGTCACGCGCTCTTTCTCGCGCACTCCCACGCGCTCTCTTACGCGCACTCCCACGCGCTCTCTTACGCGCTCCCTCACGCGCTCTCTCACGCGCTCTCTCACGCGCTCTCTCACGCGCACTCTCACGCGCACTCGCTCTCTCACGCGCTCCCTCACGCGCTCTCTCACGTGCTCTTTGATGCAATCTCTTGCGCGGTCCTTCACGCGCTCTCTCACGCGCTCTCTCACGCACTCTCTCACGCACTCTCTCACGCACTCTCTCACGCGCTCTCTGACACGTGCTCTCTCACGCGCTCTCTCACGCGCTCTCTCACGCGCACTCTCACGGGCACTCGCTCTCTCACGCGGTCCCTCACACGCTCTCTCACGCACTCTCTCACGCGCTCCCTCACGCGCTCTCTCACGCGCACTCTCACGCGCTCTCTCACGCGTTCGCGCTCTCTCACTCGCACTCTCACACGCACTCTCGCGCACACTCTCACGCGCACTTTCACACGCACTCTCACGCGCTCTCACACGCTCCCTCGCGCGCTCTCTCACGCACTCTCTCACGCTCTATCTCACGCACTCTCTCACGCGCTCTCTCACGTGCTCCCTCACGCACTCTCTCACGGGCTCTCACGCATTCCGTCGCACTCCCTCTCGCGCACTCTCTTGCACATTCTCTCTCTCACGCGCTCTTTGATGCAATCTCTTACGCGGTCCTTCACTCGCTCTCTCACGCGCTCTCTCACGCACTCTCTCACGCACTCTCTCACGTGCTCTCTGACACGCGCTCTCTCACGTGCTCTCTCACGTACTCTCTCACGCACTCTCTCACGCGCTCTCTCACGCGCTCTCTCACGGGCTCTCACGCGCTCCCTCACGTGCTCTCTCTCGCGCACTCTCTTGCGCATTCCCTCTGTCACGCGCTCTTTCTCGCGCACTCCCACGCGCTCTCTTACGCGCACTCCCACGCGCTCTCTTACGCGCTCCCTCACGCGCTCTCTCACGCGCTCTCTCACGCGCTCTCTCACGCGCACTCTCACGCGCACTCGCTCTCTCACGCGCTCCCTCACGCGCTCTCTCACGTGCTCTTTGATGCAATCTCTTGCGCGGTCCTTCACGCGCTCTCTCACGCGCTCTCTCACGCACTCTCTCACGCACTCTCTCACGCGCTCTCTGACACGTGCTCTCTCACGCGCTCTCTCACGCGCTCTCTCACGCGCACTCTCACGCGCACTCGCTCTCTCACGCGGTCCCTCACGCGCTCTCTCACGCACTCTCTCACGCGCTCCCTCACGCGCTCTCTCACGCGCACTCTCACGCGCTCTCTCACGCGTTCGCGCTCTCTCACTCGCACTCTCACGCGCACTCTCGCGCACACTCTCACGCGCACTTTCACACGCACTCTCACGCGCTCTCACACGCTCCCTCACGCGCTCTCTCACGCACTCTCTCACGCTCTATCTCACGCACTCTCTCACGCGCTCTCACACGCTCCCTCACGCGCTCTCTCACGCACTCTCTCACGCCCTATCTCACGCACTCTCTCACGCGCTCTCACACGCTCCCTCACGCGCTCTCTCACGCACTCTCTCACGCACTCTCTCACGCACTCTCTCACGCGCTCTCGCATGCGCACTCTCACGCGCTCTCTCACATGCTCTCTCGCGCTCTATCTCACGCACTCTCTCACGCGCTCTCTCACATGCTCTCTCACGCAATCTCTCATGCGCTCTCTCACGGGCTGTCACGCATTCCGTCGCACTCCCTCTCGCACACTCTCTTGCGCATTCTCTCTCTCACGCGCTCTCTCATGCACACTCTCTCGCACACTCTCACGCGCTCTCTCACGCGCTCTCTCACGTGCTCTTTGATGCAATCTCTTACGCGGTCCTTCACACGCTCTCTCACGCGCTCTCTCACGCACTCTCTCACGCACTCTCTCACGCGCTCTCTGACACGTGCTCTCTCACGCGCTCTCTCACGCGCTCTCTCACGCGCTCTGTCACGCGCACTCTCACGCGCACTCGCTCTCTCACGCGGTCCCTCACGCGCTCTCTCACGCACTCTCTCACGCGCTCCCTCACGCGCTCTCTCACGCGCACTCTCACGCGCTCTCTCACGCGTTCGCGCTCTCTCACGCGCACTCTCACGCGCTCTCTCACATGCTCTCTCACGCAATCTCTCACGGGCTCTCACACATTCCGTCGCACTCCCTCTCGCGCACTCTCTTGCGCATTCTCTCTCTCACGCGCTCTCTCATGCACACTCTCTCGCACACTCTCACGCGCTCTCTCACGCGCTCTTTGATGCAATCTCTCACGCGGTCCTTCACGTACTCTCTCACGCACTCTCTCACGCGCTCTCTCACGCGCTCTCTCACGGGCTCTCATGCACTCCCTCACGTGCTCTCTCTCGCGCACTCTCTTGCGCATTCCTTCTGTCACGCGCTCTTTCTTGCGCACTCCCACGCGCTCTCTCACGCGCACTCCCATGCGCTCTCTTATGCGCTCTCTGACGCACTCCCTCACGCGCTCTCTCACGCGCACTCTCACGCGCACTCTCACGCGCACTCGCTCTCTCACGCGCTCCCTCACGCGCTCTCTCACGCACTCTCTCACGCGCTCCCTCACGCGCTCTCTCACGCGCTCTCTCACGCGCTCGCGCTCTCTCACTCGCACTCTCACGCGCACTCTCACGCGCTCTCACACGCTCCCTCACGCGCTCTCTCACGCACTATCTCACGCTCTATCTCACGCACTCTCTCACTTGCTCCCTCACGCGCTCTCTCACGCACTCTCTCACGCGCTCTCGCACGCGCTCTTGCATGCGCACTCTCACACGTTCCCGTGCACACGCTCCCCCTCGCGCTCCTCTTCTTTAAATAGAAGTGCAATGCAAGAGGAGACGAATTGACTAACAAAATTTACGAGTCGAGCAGAGAAGTAAAATATAAGGGGAAATTTCAGAAGGGGGCGGGAGGATTAAAGGACCGAGAACGCACCTGATAATTAGAATGCCTCAGAAAACAACCCTCGTTGGCGCACCAACCCGCGCTCGCGCACCAAACAGCGCTCGCGCACCCACCCGAGCTCGCGCACCGACCCGCCCTCGCGCACCAACTCGCGCTTGCGCTCGTGCACGTGTCGCCAGAGGCGACGGCAGGGAGGAGGGAGAGGCGACGGCGGGGGGGAGGGAGAGGCGACGGCGGGGAGGAGGAGAGGCGACGGCGGGGAGGAGTGAGAGGCGACGGCGGAGATGAGGGAGAGGCGACGGCGGGGAGGGAAGGAGAGGCGACGGCGGGGAGGAGGGAGAGGCGACGGCGGAGATGAGGGAGAGGCGACGGCGGAGATGAGGGAGAGGCGACGGCGGGGAGGGAAGGAGAGGCGACGGCGGGGAGGAGGGAGAGCCGACGGCGGAGATGAGGGAGAGGCGACGGCGGGGAGGGAAGGAGAGGCGACGGCGGGGAGGAGGAAGAGGCGACGGCGGAGAGGGAAGGAGAGGCGGCGGCGGGATGGGAGGGAGCAGCGACGGCGGCTGGGAAGGAGGGAGGGGCGATGGCGGGATGGGAGGGAGCGGCAACGACGTCGTTTTACTTGGGGCGCCGGCTAGGAGGGAGAGAGACGCGATGGCGGGGTGGGAGGGAGCGCGACGGCGGGGTGAGAGGGAGAGGCGACGGAAGGGAGTAAGGGATAGCTAGACGGTAGGTAAGGCGCGAAAGAAGCAAGAAGCAAGAAGCAAGAACCAAGAACCAAGAAGAGACGAGAGTCGAATTCGAGAAGACAGGTGTGACAGGAAAAAAATACATGTTTTTATCATTACAAGATTGCAAAACGTTTTGAGCTGATTTGCTAAGGTAACTGTATTGTTAAGATCTCACTCTGGCTATATGATGTTCTTAAAATAAGACTGCAGCCGTAGAGCCACTCAAAACTCCTAAATAATCTGCAATGATTTCGTTTGTAACCTGGTTGGACTCGCAAAAAACGAGACTGAACATAAACTCGCATTTTTTAGAATGTACTCAATACGAGATGATACAGATCAAGACAGTGCCACGTGGTTCAGTGCGCTCCGAAAATCCTCCACGCAATTTTGCAGTCGACGTGCTGACGAAGCAGAAACAAGCAGTCAGAAACAGGAAGAGACAAAAAGCAAAGCACAAAGCAAATACCCACTATAGTAAATTGTATGTGCAGTAAAATAAGATGACTAATAAAATCAGTGTCTATTATAAACACAAAAGAATATTGAATTTCCAAAAACGTTCTTTGTTGATACATAAAGTATCTAAAGAGTACAAAAATCTAAATATCGGCTATATTTATTTTTTAACAAATATCAAGCTTATCCCATTTTAACCAAGTAAAACGCACGTTATAATTTGCTTTACATAAGTAGAATATAATATGTTCCTTCATTATGTTTCTTATACAAAGATACAACTCTACGCAACCCATCCGACGTAAACGTCGAATCTTGTTTTTAAGAAAAAAAATTATTTAAACGTATTTCATATTTACATGTAACCCCACCAGTCAGGTCAGGCTACCGTAATGATTTTTTACCCTACCAGGCTACCAATTCTGATTCTCAAGGGTGGCCAAGAACCGATTTGGACGAGGCACTTGAATTAATTACAGTAAGAAAACCCTTGTACAGACACCACCTGTGCCACTTCGATCTGCTTCTGTATAACTAAAATTCCAGTGGTAATAAAAAATACAGCACTGGGGACATTTTCAGCCACAGGAACTAAGCGAATAGCCAAAGAAGTGCGGAGTGCACTGCACTGCATGACCCCTACTTCACTCCTCGTCCGCTACTTGTGCAGCCCAGGCCAGCTCAAGAGCATGGCTAAGAGCCCGCTCTATAATCACATCAAAAGCATCTTTGAATGTGCCATCCTTACCGGTATCAGCATTTACTAGCTCATTTGTGCCTGCCTCCCCTTCACCCCCCCATGACAGCCCCTCTTCCTCTTCCTGCTCTTTGCTCTCACCTCTGTCGCTCTTTATCACCCTCCTCACCACCCCATCCTCCTCCCCCGTTCGCCTGTACAGCAGCCGAGGCAGCAGCTGCATGATTCTGTGCCTCATGCGAGTCACTTTATAAGGAGGAAAAGAGGAGAGAAGGGCAGCCAGGTTGGCAGAGCCGTTCAAAATGGCTTCGGCTGGAATGAAGACGTAGAAAGGCACGTTGCGGGGAGAGTGGGACGAGCGAGAGCGGGACGATGACACAGACACAGCATCCCCAGAAGCCCCGACGTCAAACCCGATCCGCTCCACTTCATGCACCGGCAAGTGCCAAGGGAACTGCCGTTGCACCGACCAATCGGAGAAGACCACGGGGATGCATCCTGCGAGCATGGCATCGAAGAAGGAGCGGCGGGTGGGGCTGTCCCCCCAGGGCTGCAGGCAGAAGTCTGAGTCCAGGTGCACGCGCATCACAATGCGCGGGTAGTCACACAGGTACACTGGGTTTGGCGCCACTGCTGCTGCCACCTCCTCCCCTGCCCCCGGGCATTCCCCATGCCGCAGCCGCCGCTGCTGCTGAAGGTTTTTGTTATTGCTGGGTTCACCGGTTGGATCTTCGCATTGGATTGCGCAGTCCAGGAATCTGCACTGCCGCCCAGCAGCGTCGCATTCGGCCATGAGTTTGTCTCGTAGTGCTGCCCCGGCCACAGCGGCGGGCTCGGCGCCGCCTCGCTGGGAGATGACGTCACTGCGCCTGGCGCCCACAAAGGAGAATAGATACCTCCGCTGCCGCCACTCCTCATGCTGTTGTTCTTCCTCCTGCTGCTGCTCTTGCGGCTGCTGCTGCTGTTCCCGCTGCTGTTTCTGCTGCTGGCGCTGCTGCTTCTGCTGCTGTCGCTGCTGCTCTTGCTGTTGCTTCTCCCGCTCCCGCTGCTCGCGTTCCCGCTGCTGCTCCTGCTGCCTCTGCTGCTGCTGCTGCTGCAACTTCCGCAGCTGAAGATGTGTCATCAAATGCTTTGGACGATCAACACGAGACAAATCAATGCTGGCAAGCCGCCGCCGTTGGTATTCCGCCCTCCCCCTCTCACCACTCTCTGCTCCCATGTCTCCCGCCCCCCTCTCCCTCAATCTCGCTCTACCGTCCTTCCTCCTCTGTGCCTCTCTCCCACCACCTTCTTCCCGCCGCTCCCCTCCTTCCCCTCCAAGGGCTCTCCTTTTTACCTTCCCTCTGTGCTGCAATGTGGGCCCTGCTGGTTCAGCCGTCTGCCTCCCACTGCTTGCCTTTCCCTCTCTGCTCTCCGCTTCTTCTTCCTCATCCTCCTCTTCTTCTCCCTCTTCCTCGTCTCCTTTGTTTCTTCCCATTCCCTTCTCTCCTTCGCCCTCGTCCCCATCTCCCTCACCTGCTTCTTCTTCTCCCTCCCCCTCCTCGTGCTCCCCTTCTTCTTCCCCTTCCTCGCCCTGCCCTAACCCTTTGTCACCACCACTACCCCCTGCCGTCTTGCCCTTTCCTCCCTGCTCCCTTGCACGGCTCTTCTCCTTAGCGTCCGCTTCTTCCTTCCCCTCTTTTTCCCCCATTCGCTTCTCCTCTTCCTCATCTTTCCCCCCCTCCTCTCCTCCTTCCTCTTCCATCTCTTCCGTTCCTTCCCCCTCATCCTCCTCTTCCGCTCCTCCTCTCTCCATGCTCTCACCCACCCCATCATCGTTGGTATCACCCAGCACCTCCCTCTGCAGCTTCAACCAAGCTTGCTTCACACCATCTTCATCCTCTTCCTCCTCCGTTTCCGCCCCCTCTACTTTACTCTCTCCCTCCAAAATATTTATCTTCTTTTCACCTTTTTTTTTTTTTTTTTTTTTGGGCTTTAAGGAGATCCCCGGAGGAAACCAACCCCCCGTCGTCTGTCAAATCTCGTCAACCCGGTTCGTGCGCGACGCAACCAGTGCTTGTTCCATAGACCGCTGTATGGTCGACCACATAAACGTCGCAGACGTGACGAGAAGTGACGAAATCTTGCGCTGTGCAGGTCTGAGTTCGTACCACATCGTGCGGCACACGGTGGGTTTCACAAAATCGCGGCCTTTGACAGTTGGGTGACCAAAGAGGGGGCTGCTTTGGGTTGGGGGCTCCTTTCGCAAGACAAATGGACGCATGGTTGTCCCTTCAATATTTGAACCCCAGTCTGTCGTGTGGCACAAAGATTGACATAAGTTCGTCTCATAAACCCGAGTGGGCTACAAGTTTCTGAATCAAAACGACATGTCAGTTCAGGTGACAAACAAGACGACAACATGGTCGTGGCCTAAAAAACAAAATGCCATTTCCACCAATGACCCTTGTCGAGTGACGTGCTCAAAATTCAAATGACTTGCGAACTGTAGAAACTGGAAAATGGAAAACATGCTTACAAGTTTGCTTTATTTCCTTCTTACCTTTCTCTTGCCACCTCTGCTCATCTCGACAAGCACATACCCTCGCCGCTTGCGAACATGGCGCTTGCTGTCGCAGCGCCCGTGCAATCCGCGTCGCCAGCAATCCTTTCCCTCGATCGTGCGACTGCAAGCCGCGCCTCGCATGTGTCGCATATCTCGCAAGTCGCCACCGCGCGCGCATTTCCGCGGGACGCGCGCCTTGCGGCGCACCTCGATGCCTTCGCGCTAGCCAGCGCAGCGAGGCCGTCCGCGCGGCAGGAGTCGCACAAGCACCGCGCATGGCGCCTGCGAACCCGAGCCAGCACAGGTGAGGGTGGCAAACGCGCTTCGACGGACCAGGGTGAATCAGACACGGCGGTCACTGGGTTTGCTTTAGGCCCCGTTTAGCTCGTCGCTCTCTATCCCTTTCCGACAACGATTCATATTCGCTCGACCCTTTTCTTCCGTGCCCTGCCTCCTCGCCTTGCTTCGTCGCCGCTTCGCCCGTTCTTTCCACTTTCGCTTAAACCCTCAACCTGGTGCATCGCAGGCGACGATGCGACATCGCCGCAGGACGTACCGAAGGAAGCGAAGGAGCGAGCAGCGGCACAGGTGAGAGTGTGAGGACCTTGGGATCGCCCTTTGCACCGGCGTGGTGGTGCGAACATGCGCAGTGCGCAGGCAGTGGCGGAATGCATAGTCATGGCAATGCATAGTCATGGCAATGCATAGTCATGGCAATGCATAGTCATGGCACTGCATAGTCATGGCAATGCATAGTCATGGCAATGCATAGTCATGGCACTGCATAGTCATGGCACTGCATAGTCATGGCAATGCATAGTCATGGCACTGCATAGTCATGGCAATGCATAGTCATGGCAATGCATAGTCATGGCAATGCATAGTCATGGCAATGCATAGTCATGGCACTGCATAGTCATGGCAATGCATAGTCATGGCACTGCATAGTCATGGCACTGCATGGTCATGGCAATGCATAGTCATGGCACTGCATAGTCATGGCACTGCATAGTCATGGCACTGCATAGTCATGGCAATGCATAGTCATGGCAATGCATAGTCATGGCACTGCATAGTCATGGCAATGCATAGTCATGGCAATGCATAGTCATGGCACTGCATAGTCATGGCAATGCATAGTCATGGCAATGCATAGTCATGGCAATGCATAGTCATGGCAATGCATAGTCATGGCACTGCATAGTCATGGCAATGCATAGTCATGGCACTGCATAGTCATGGCACTGCATAGTCATGGCAATGCATAGTCATGGCACTGCATAGTCATGGCACTGCATAGTCATGGCACTGCATAGTCATGGCAATGCATAGTCATGGCACTGCATAGTCATGGCACTGCATAGTCATGGCAATGCATAGTCATGGCACTGCATAGTCATGGCACTGCATAGTCATGGCAATGCATAGTCATGGCACTGCATAGTCATGGCACTGCATAGTCATGGCACTGCATAGTTATGGCACTGCATAGTCATGGCACTGCATAGTCATGGCAATGCATAGTCATGGCAATGCATAGTCATGGCAATGCATAGTCATGGCACTGCATAGTCATGGCAATGCATAGTCATGGCAATGCATAGTCATGGCACTGCATAGTCATGGCAATGCATAGTCATGGCAATGCATAGTCATGGCAATGCATAGTCATGGCAATGCATAGTCATGGCACTGCATAGTCATGGCACTGCATAGTCATGGCAATGCATAGTCATGGCAATGCATAGTCATGGCAATGCATAGTCATGGCACTGCATAGTCATGGCAATGCATAGTCATGGCAATGCATAGTCATGGCAATGCATAGTCATGGCACTGCATAGTCATGGCACTGCATAGTCATGGCAATGCATAGTCATGGCACTGCATAGTCATGGCACTGCATAGTCATGGCAATGCATAGTCATGGCACTGCATAGTCATGGCACTGCATAGTCATGGCAATGCATAGTCATGGCACTGCATAGTCATGGCACTGCATAGTCATGGCAATGCATAGTCATGGCACTGCATAGTCATGGCACTGCATAGTCATGGCACTGCATAGTCATGGCAATGCATAGTCATGGCACTGCATAGTCATGGCACTGCATAGTCATGGCAATGCATAGTCATGGCACTGCTGCTGGCACTTGTGAGGCTGTACCGCTGGCACTGCCCCGTTCTCCACGTGGCACTGCCCCGTTCTCCACGTGGCACTGCCCCGTTCTCCACGTGGCACTGCCCCGTTCTCCACGTGGCACTGCCCCGTTCTCCACGTGGCACTGCCCCGTTCTCCACGTGGCACTGCCCCGTTCTCCACGTGACACTGCCCCGTTCTCCACGTGACACTGCCCCGTTCTCCACGTGACACTGCCCCGTTCTCCACGTGGCACTGCCCCGTTCTCCACGTGACACTGCCCCGTTCTCCACGTGACACTGCCCCGTTCTCCACGTGACACTGCCCCGTTCTCCACGTGACACTGCCCCGTTCTCCACGTGGTAACTGCCTGCAAATCACAATCCCGATTCTGCCATGGCCAATCATCATCTACTGCGTCGGCCAGGCCAGTCCGTGCCACGTGGCACATGCGGCTCACTGCGCTGCCATGCCGCGCAGTGCCGCGGTGTGCTCGGATGCTAAAAGGGTGTTGGCTCAGCGACCTGTGTGCCATGCCATGCCATGCTCTGCCTCTCTCTGTGTGTGCCTATGTTGCGCCTGACGCGTCCAGCGTTTTTGACGCCAGCGTCTGGACGGGGCGTCCAGACGCCGGACGCCCGGGTGCCTCTCCCCTGGACGTCCGCTTGACGCTCGTCCGGGCAGGGCAAAATATTTTCCCGGGCAGGGGGGAAAAAACCTTCGGTAGTAAGGCAAAACAGGAATTATGATGCACCAAATGACATTTTCACCAAAACTTCCATAAATTCCAGAAAATCCAGACGCGTTGCCACTATCTGATTCATCCGCGGGACTAGGGGACGACATTGAAACCTAATCGCCGTAGCTTAAACTGAAATAGGGAGATTACTAGCGCGACTGGCGGATTCAAGCGTTGAGATAGCTAGGGAACGACGAGAGATCGAGAAGTGAGTAATCTCGACCTTGATCTGCTTTCTCGGTTCAGATCTGGATCATCCAGGTTGGGATTGGGAGGTATGGAGGGGTGAAAATGTGTTGGGGGGGATTGAATGTGGGTTTCGTTTTGGGGCAAAAACGCAACCCAATGTTGTCGATTTCATCACAATTC